TCTTTATGTGTTTGTTTGTTTGTTGCTTGTGGCGTCGGTGGTCTAGTGGTTAGACTACCGGACTGGTAATCGTGAGGTTGCGGATTCGCGGGTACGAGCCGCGAGCCCAACGTTGTGTCCTTGGGAAAGGCACTTTACACGAATTTTCCTCACTTCACCCAGGTGGGAATGGGTACCCGGCTATAGACAGCGAAAGATCTTGTCAGGATGTTGGTGTTTAAGCGTCTATAAATGGCCACATGCACTGTATGTTTCCCAGGAAGTAGAGATTGTTTCAGAATGCTCTCAGGTCTGCTGGGGTAATAGTATAGATTGTGAAGCGCATAGAGCCTGCTGTTGAGCGGGGATTTGCACTATACAAATGCTGTTATTATTATTACTTTATCCCAGCCCTAACTCGGCTCAATTCGATAAATCCTGATATGGAATCAAAGTTTTGCGAGTCACAGACGTACCACACGTTTTTTAAAAAATTGTGCATGATCTGATTTCCTTCTGAAATGATATTGCGTGTTGTATAGGCAACTAACATTTCAACATTACTATTAGATCTATATCTCCCTTACAAACAATTTTGCCAGTGACATGCAAAAATATCATATCCACTCCCCTCCCATTCCAAAACACCCCACCAACAACACCCCACCCCCCAAACAAAACATAACAACAAACTAAACAAAAGAACCTCAAATAATAAACCTTATGCTTACCTGCAATAACTGTAGCATTTGGATGGCACACTTAAGACACAATTTTCAGTCGAGCATGACAAATGAAATCTAGCGGTTCGAAAAAGCCTTGCCCCTAAACTATCTAAAACTTAATTATTTTGTGGATGTGGGTTGAAGGCATCAACAGTAATTTAACCGTTACAGCTGACCCGTTCATCCGCTGGCCCAAGAGTCCATTCGTCCTTTTTGGCCCCGAGTGTCCGAAGAGATTCCAGCCGGGCACGCTGACCCTCGAGGGGACCTTCAACCCCCAGCAGAGTCTGGCACCTGGCCCGCCCTGGGAGTTCAAGGGTCACGTGATGAACATTCCCTTCTGCTCGAGGACGCGGGGTAGACAGAGCAACACAGACTCGTGGCCGGATGGGAACTATTGCGCCATCAAACCCAGGGGAGTGGAGTGTACCAGGGGTGAGTGTGTGTGTGTGTGTGTGTGTGTGTGT